GGTGCTATGATCATACACCTGTAATACCCTGTAGTGGTGCTATAATTGTACACCTATAATACCCTGTAGTGGTGCTATAATTGTACACCTATAATACCCTGCAGTTGTGCTGTAATTGTACACCTATAATACCCTGTAGTGGTGCTATAATTGTACACCTATAATGCTGTGTAAAAGTACTATGATCATACACCTGTAATGCCCTGTAGTGGTGCTAAAATTGTACATCTATAATGTCCTGTAGTGGTGCTATAATTGTACACCTATAATGCCCTGTAGTGGTGCTATAATTGTACACCTATAATGCCCTGTAGTGGTGCTATAATTGTACACCTATAATGCCCTGTAGTGGTGCTATAATTGTACACCTATAATGCCCTGTAGTGGTGCTATAATTGTACACCTATAATGCCCTGTAGTGGTGCTATAATTGTACACCTATAATGCCCTGTAGTGGTGCTATAATTGTACACCTATAATGCCCTGTAGTGGTGCTATAATTGTACACCTATAATGCCCTGTAGTGGTGCTATGATTGTTCACCTATAATGCCCTGTAGTCGTGCTATGATTGTACACCTATAATGCCCTGTAGTGGTGCTATAATTGTTCACCTATAATTCCCTGTAGTGGTGCTATGATTGTACACATATAATGCCCTGTATACCCTGTAGTGGTGCTATAATTGTTCCCCTATAATACCCTGTAGTGGTGCTATAATTGTTCCCCTATAATACCCTGTAGTGGTGCTATGATCATACACCTATAATGCCATGTAATGGTGCTATAATTGTTCACCTATAATGCCCTGTAGTCGTGCTATGATTGTACACCTATAACGCCCTGTAGTGGTGCTATAATTGTACACATATAATACCCTGTAGTGGTGCTATGATCATACACCTATAATGCCCTGTAGTGGTGATATGATCATACACCTATAATGCCCTGTAGTGGGGCTATGATTGTACACCAATAATGTCCTGTAGTGGTGCTATAATTGTATACCTATAATGCCCTGTAGTGTGATATGATTGTACACCTATAATGCCCTGTAGTCGTGCTATGATTGTACACTTATAATGCCCTGTAGTGGTGCTATAATTGTACCCCTATAATGCCCTGTAGTGGTGCTAGGATTGTACACCAATAATGCCCTGTAGTGGTTCTATAATTGTTCACCTATAATACCCTGTAGTGGTGATATGATCATACACCTATAATGCCATGTAATGGTGCTATAATTGTTCACCTATAATGCCCTGTAGTGGTGCTATGATTGTACACCAATAATCCCCTGTAGTGGTGATATGACTGTACACCTATAATACCCTGTAGGGGGGATATTATTGTACACCTATAATACCCTGTATTGGTGCTATGATTGTACACCTATAATGCCTTGTAGTGGTGCTATAATTGTACACCAATAATGCCCTGTAGTGGTTCTATAATTGTTCACCTATAATGACCTGTAGTGGTGCTATAATTGTACACCAATAATGCCCTGTAGTGGTGATATGACTGTACACCTATAATACCCTTTAGTGGTGATATTATTGTACACCTATAATACCCTTTAGTGGTGATATTATTGTACACCTATAATACCTTTTAGTGGTGCTATGATTGTACAGCTATAATGCCCTGTAGTGGGGCTATAATTGTACACCGATAATACCCTGTAGTGGTGATAAGATCATATACCTATAATGCCCCGTAGTGGTGCTATAATTGTACACCTATAATACCCTGTAGTGGTGATAAGATCATATACCTATAATGCCCTGTAGTGGTGCTATAATTGTACACCTATAATGCCCTGTAGTGGTGCTATAATTGTACACCTATAATACCCTGTAGTGGTGATATGATCATACATCTATAATACCCTGTAGTGGTGATATGATTGTACACCTATAATACCCTGTATTGGTGCTATGATTGTACACCTATAATAGCCTGTAGTGGTGCTATAATTGTACACCTATAATGCCCTGTAGTGGTGCTATGATTGTACACCAATAATGCCCTGTAGTGGTGCTATAATTGTTCACCTATAATACCCTGTAGTGGTGATATGTTTGTACACCTATAATACCCTGTAGTGGCGCTATAATTGTACACCTATAATACCCTGCAGTTGTGCTGTAATTGTACACCTATAATACCCTGTAGTGGTGATATGATCATACATCTATAATACCCTGTAGTGGTGATATGATCATACACCTATAGTGCCCTGTCGTGGTGCTATAATTGTACACCTATAATACCCTGTAGTGGTGCTATAATTGTACACCTATAATGCCCTGTAGTGGTGCTATAATTGTACACCTATAATGCCCTGTAGTGGTGCTATAATTGTACACCTATAGTGCCCTGTAGTGGTGCTATAAATGTACACCTTTAGTGCCCTGTAATGGTGCTATAATTGTACACCTATAATCCCCTGTAGTGGTGCTATAATTGTACACCTATAATACCCTGTAGTGGTGATATGATCATACACCTATAGTGCCCTGTAGTGGTGCTATAATTGTTTACCTATAATGCCGGGTGTTGTCGCTATGATTGTACACCACAGAGCTTCTAGATTCCAAAATTTCTGGTAGGGGGGTGGAGGTGGGGGGGGTAAAAGATTATTGAGTACATATGGCGCTTGCTTGGGCCTGCAGCCCTCGTTATCTGGACCAGTGCACTTCAAACAGGACCAGTGGAATTTTACTTCAACTTGCCCTTTGGACCAGTAACCATTTTTTTTTTAAATTCCACCCCTGCAATCTCTATGCAAACTAACTTCTAACCAAATTAGCTAATAAACTAATTCATCAGTGATCACCCTGGTCTACAAAACATTCTTCTTCCAAATTACACACAACACTCTGGTCCACTTTCCTTAGCTTGGTATGCTTATATTTACTAAGACACCACATGTATGTGGCACCCTGTTAATTTGGATTGTTTTTAGCGTTTATATTTATTATCGCTCGTTGTGTTATGTCTGTGTTGTTCGTATCCCACGTCGTGTTAGTGTGTGTCTGTTGGCCTGATATGCGTACGGTGCTCGTTGTGTGATTGTTGCGTTGTGCGTATCTTACACCGTGTGTTAGGTAATTGCCCGTTGTGTGTTTTGTATGTGCGGTTCGTGAGTGTCCGGAGAGTGTTCGTATGACGTATGTAGGTATAAAACAGGTTTGACCACTGACGGACAGTACAGGACATGCGCGTTGCGTTTTCCTTTTCTCTCTTTTGTACTTTTGCCGCCGTTTGGTAGTTCTTCTTTGACCATCTATCAGAGAGGTTGTATTTTTCACAAAGATGTAGATCTAATCTATATTTATTTATTCACGTCCTGGGCACCACATGCCAAGTAAGTTTAACATTATTATTTATTTATTTGTTATCATTACATTTATATGCGATCGGTAATTTTACTGATAATTGTAACTTATTGGTAGATAATGTTCGTCGTGATATTTCCTGTGGTCTATTTGTACTTTGTCAGTTATATATAAACGATAATAGAATATATGTATGTGATCGAATCTATGTAAATGTATTCATAGTTATTTTAAAGTACGCGCTATTGTTGTATAGTTGGGCGCGTTAGTTTCGGTACTATGTATTGAATATAGCTATTTATTTGTTGTAGGGACTTTTGTCTATGTTCTCATCATTAAACACATCTATGAAGAGAATCTTGTGTCGGTCGTTATTACGCCAAGACCCTCCCCTAAAAATCCGACTACGTTACATGTACATAGTATATGTAAGTAACAGGAGAAGAAAAATACAACAATTAAAAGCTGACTGTGATTTTAACCTGAGGCAGTCAAACTTTAAAAGGACAATCTAATCAACTGTGCTTTTTGCATTTGGTCACCAATAATTTACTCAATGCAGTTCTGCTTCAACAGGTCGGGGAAAACCACTTACTTGCGTATAATACGCAAACTCGCCTATTATATACGCCAGTTGGAGTATGGATGTGTTACTAAAAATAACCCAAATCGCTTTTAACAGTAACTTTTGCAAGATATCATTAAAAATAGCATTAATTTACGACAAGGTAAATAATATTTTGCTAAAATATGTTTACTGAAAGTGTTGGCTACTTAAAAACTTGATGTAACTTTACCGGACTTATTGCATCTATTTTTGGTACTTTCCCACATGCAAATAAAGTGGTGTTTTTTGCATTTGCAATATGTTTCCCGACTGAATAAATGCGACTTGGACAAACAATTTGAAAAAAGTTAAGATTAAAGTGATTTTGGCTATTTTTAGTAACAAATTCATACCCCTATTGATATTGAAGGATCTTAACGTTTTGAGTTTGAATTAAGCATTATACCAAAGATGTGTGACATTACAATTTGTGGCCACGGTTGTGTGTTCAGAGTACACCCTTCCTGACAGTGCTTTTTAAATTGAAGACATTGCACGTGTACGGTGTCCAGTCTGAAAGAAATTTGCCTTTTAAGTTCTAACACAACATGTTAACATCAAAAACTGTATGAATTTTCTAGCTAAGATTCATTGTAGTTGACATACAAATATGATATGCCACTTTTCAACCAAATGGAAAAGATACATACACACATACTGCACACGTGTTCTTTGTTATCAAAACATTGAAAAAACATGGCCGAAGTAGACGTGTAGAGCTGAATATACATATACAAAGGTAAGACGATGAATAATTGTGCTAACAACACCTTAAAATTCGCAATAGATGTAGAAATTCGCTCCCAACGTTGCCTGAAAGGTGATATAGTTAACTTAGAATACCTTGGGTCTCGGTTTCACAACGATACAACAAGTTTAATAATAGGAACGTTACAGTATACTGTAGGCCTAACAATTAATATAGCGACTTGTTTGATCATGTCTTCCCTCAAAAAAAATCATTTTAAATGCATTATAAGAAGATTAGTTTGGAAAGAACATCATGATGGAATTTGATTATATACACCCCTTTGGTAAAGGAATACTCACAAACTGACAGACTGCCGTTATACTGATCCGTCATACACAATGTTTACATGGATCCAAGGACTCGGCGGCCATGAGCATTAGTTATAGGTCACGTGACCAAACAGGAAGTACCTGACGAAATCTCAGGAAACAAAGCGTTGATCGAGACCAAGACCGACCCCAAACTTTAGCAACATATCCGGTCCTGGTTATTAAGATCTCAATTTCGTAATGGAAGAATGATCACAAAGGCCACATTTATTTAATTGACTAATAAAACGTTACTGCAGTTGCAGTATTGTTAGTTATCTCGTTAAATTTCATTGTAAACCAAGGAGGAGGATCAGTTTCATGATTATCTAGATGATAATGTTAATGTCTCACTTTGGGAGTTAATTGAAGGCAATATCGGAAGGTAACTGTAATCCCTCGGGTCCCAAAGTAGAGGGGATGCATATGCAGTCCCAATTGTCATTCTCATAACCACCATACAACATGAAACCAAAATAGAAACGAAATACTACAGCGTAAACATTTCGATAGTAATTGTCATTAAGCGAAAGTTAACACAAAAAATAGAAACGAAACACCAGTCTTTACGGAATTTTTATGAACCTCTGAAGAGTCAACTTGAAATTAACTTTAGTTTTACAAAACAATAATCATAATCAATTAAATCATAAGAAGTAACCACGTTTTGAATTTAACTTGTGCTTAAAAGTGGCATAGGTTCGATCGTCTGGTATACAACTTAGTATAGATTCTATACATGACAGTGATATTAGCCGTGCACCCTTCACTGGTCACCAGCAGATACGTCTCTGTCACCAGTCTGTAATCCTGTTCGGAGCAGTCCGGGACCCGGATACTGTCAGTCTTTTCCATTGTAGAAAGATTCTGTAACATTCCAGCCTCGGCTTGTTACGCCTCGATAATTCTACATGACAGTGATATTAGCTGTTCACCCTCCACACACTGGTCACCACACGCTGTAATCCTGTTCGGGGTTAATTTTTTTCCGGGATTCGGTTACATGCAGAACGATTCTGTTGGGATTATATGTTACAGAATCCTAGCACTCGACTGCGATAATCTGATATTGCTCAGTTACAGGTAATTACCATGACAACACAATTTGTTATGGAATAATCCGTCGATTTATGAATATTAAAGGCATAAATTGAAGTCTACAGGCTTTGTTCAAATGAATAACCTTATATTCAAGGTCACATGGGTCAAATATGTTTACAACATTTAAAAAACTTCTTCTGAATAACCAAACGATCTAGGGTGATAATATTTGACCAGTAGCATGTTGGGATGAAGGGCTACCAAGTCTGTTCAAATGAATGACCTTAACCCATATTCAAGGTAACAGGAGTCAAATATGTTAAACACTTTCAACAACTTCTTCTGAATAACCAGAAAGCCTTGGAAAATGTCATTTAGCTAATAACATGCTAGGATAAAAGGGCTACCAAATTTGTTCAAATAAATGACGTTGGCTTATATTAAAGGTCACAGGGGTCAATTATGTTTAAAACATGTTAACGACTTCTTCTGAATAACTAAAAGGCAAAGGGTCATGTTATTTGGTCAGTAGCATGCTAGAATGAAGTGCTACCAACTTTGTTCAAATGAATAACTGACTTTTTCCAAGGTCACATGTGTTAAAAATGTTTATAACCTTTAAAACAACTTCTTCTGACTAACCAAAAAGAACAAGATGAAGATCTTTGGACAGTAACATGCTGGGATGAAGGGCTATTTAGTTTGTTCTAATTAATTACATAGACTTATATTCAAGGTCACAGGTGAAAAAAAATGTGTAAAACCATTAAACGACTTCTTCTGAATAACCCAAAGGCCAAGAATGTTGATATTGGCCAGTAACATGCTGGGATAAAGGGCTATTAACTTCTTCTTAATAACCAAAAGGCCTAGGATGATTAAATTTTGCCAGTAGCACCTTCTGGTGAAGAGCTATCATTTTTTTTTCATGTGGATGACCTTGACCAACTTTCAAGGTCACAATTGGTCAAATGTGTATTGATCTTTGAATGACCTAATCTCAATAAACAAAAGGTCTAGGGTGGTGACATTTGGCAAGTTTCATGCTGAGATGGAGGGCTGTAAAATTGTTTTCAACATAATGACATTGTAAGACTTTCAAGGTCACAGGGATCAAATATCTTTTAACAGGCGCTTTTGAATGACTCATAGTCATAAATACTGGTATTCTGCCTGCACCTATATTTTATTCCACTTTTAAGTTTACAAATGTGAAATTAATACCAGGATAGCGATGCAGGAACCATTGGGCCTCCTGTTTTTTAAAATCTTTTATTAAGTTCGAATTAGATTTTATTTTCCCAGTATCTCTTAGGGGTGTTTCTATGGTTGAGAATTCTGGCATTGGTGCTGTTATGAATATGGGCGTCTGTGCCGTTGTCGATTCTTCTCGTAATGGGTAAGGGGTCGCTAGGTGGCATTAAGGGTTGACGGAAGTTTCGTAGTCGGAAATCCTTTAAGAAACAGAGTCTAGAAAAGTGTCCAATTTTTTCACACTCGAAACAGTGGGAAGATATTGTGGGGCATGTTCTGAGATGGCCGTTGTGAAAAGGTTAGCCGCATGGCGTGCAATGTCTGTCGGTCTGCAATTCCCAACTGTTTCGTCCAATTCCGGTGTTATTCCAGAAACGTTGAGGAGTCTGATGAGACGAGTTGATAACTCTCTGTTGAAACATGTAAGATCTAATACACGTAACTTCGGGTTGTTGTTTTGATGGTTGCGTTTTGTAGATGTGGTGAAATCTCGCTTGGTAGTGAAGGTTCGGGATCTTGTACGTAATTTGACTACACAAAATAATGAGACAAATAACCCGGATTCTCCAACAATTATAACAACACTTTTGTAGGGTGTTGTAATACAATTTGAAATTATAAGTTCTGGAGATGTTGTATGTACATATGTATGTAGTCCAAATATAAATTTATAAGAATAACTTTCTCTAGGTCGGTGGGTGATTTCTGGAGTATCCAAAAACACACCCGTACAGTCCGAGGTCTAGGTCCTAACTGATGTTACATATCCATGTCGTTAAGTACATTTACACAATGAAAGTAGAATAATTGGTTTGAGTGACAGGCTACGGACATAACGTTAACAATCCCTAGGGATGCGAAACAAGAGGTTCCACTAATCGTAATGAACTTTGTAATTCTACCCTAAAAGTTATATTTTTTAATGTTTGTGGTCTAAAGTCAAAATTGATTCTACCAGAATTTGAGCAACTTACTGTTTCATTTGAATTACTAGTTTTTAGGTCACCTGGGACAAAGTCTCAAGTGACCTATTGCGATCGCCTTTTGTCCGACGTCGTCCGTCGTCCGTCGTGCGTCCGTAAACAATTTACATTTTCGACATCTTCTCCAAAACTCCTGAACCAATTTCAATGAAATATTGCAGAAACCTTCCATGGCCAAAGGTCAACTAAACTAGTGGCCGGTTTGGTTCCCAGCCCCATATAGGGAAATCACATTTTGGACCAACATTTGTTTAATTTCCATTGGAAGTAATTCAATTTGGGTTAGCATTATCAGTATTGGATAGCAGTTTGATGGTATGCACATATATCCCTGACTGACCCCTCGGGGCTGATTGGTGGGGCCAAAAAGGGTCGAATTGACTGAAATTTCAAAAATCTTCTCCTCAAGACCCAGATATGGTAGAATCAAATACTCTTCATAGATGGAAGGGTCTAAAGGTGCTTTACCAAAATGTGAATTTCATGACCCTGGGGTCTCACGTTTCCCCCTGAGGAGGGGGTAAACTTTACTATAGTTTATATAGGGAAATCACATTTTGGACCAACATTTGTTTAATTTCCATTGGAAGTAATTCAATTTGGGTTAGCATCATCAGTATTGGATAGCAGTTTGATGGTATGCACACATCAGCCCTGATTGACCCCCGGGGCTGATGGGTGGGGCCAAAAAGGGTTGAATTGATTGAAATTTCACAAAAATCTTCTTCTCAAAGACCCAGATATAGTAGAATCAAACACTCTTCATAGATGGAAGGGTCTTAAGGTGGCTCCACACATCGTCATCAGCATCCATTTTCGTGACGTACTTCCGGAAAAAGTAAAGCTCGGACTCAATTATCTTGATCGAAATGTGCATGTACACCGTGTCGTCATTTCCGTATTGCGTATCGGGCATTCAATATCGTAGTGCAAATTATAGTAACACCTGGACCATTTTCGTTTAAACGGTCAAACCGATCGGACCACTGATGTTCGTTTATTAAATAAGGTCGGACCTAGTAATCTGATGCTGCTTTCAGCCTTGCCAGGGCTGCATACATATTTTCAGGTCCGCCAGGATTTATACCCGAAATTGTTACATTTATAATCGGTCAAACCGGTTGTTCCGCATAAACGAACAGGCCCCTGGTAAACAATAGTACACGTGCGTGCCGATAATATGTCAACACCCGATATCGAGATTTTACCGGGAAATGAATAATCACACGTACTTCAGGAATAAAGCTTTCCAATTCATAGACATGAACAGACTCACGGGAAGACAGTGACACGAGACCAGACGACCTCAAGAAGGTCATATAGGAAACACATGGAATGCGGACGTACCAACCTCACATGTGCATATCACGTGCTTACACGAGTTCATAAGCTCGAGGTCGTTACGATTTTCGCTGTTAAGCGAATTTCGCTCTGTTGATTAAATCGTTTTTACAAATGTAGTCTACTTACTCTGTGAAAACAATGTTTTGTAAAATATCAAGATCCCTATGAAATGCATGTGTGAGTGCACGTGAGAACGGCATACCATGCGATAGCCTCTGGTCACATATACCGTGAGTTAGCGGACTGTGGAATGATGTCAAAAGTGTACATGACTGAGAGTAATTTGGTTCCATTAAAGAACAATAAATTGATAATTTTGATATCATATTTTTTATTTATTTCCATCATTTTTGTTATATGTAAACAGAGACAACTGTCATTGTGTAAATTTCATCCCTCTGCAAAAAGTTCCGGTTTTTTGAAGGAAGATAACTCTCACCCGGATCAAAGTGATTGT